TCTACTCTCTCTCTCTCTCTCTCTCTCTCTCTCTCTCTCTCTCTCTCTCTCTCTCTCTCTCTCTCTCTCTCTCTCTCTCTCTCTCTCTCTCTCTCTCTCTCTCTCTCTCTCTCTCTCCCTTTCTTCCTTTCTCTCTCGTTCGCGTTACTATCATATTTCCAACGTTCAATACGTTTGTTGTACGCTACTGTAGACTTTGCTGCTGCTTCACGTGAATCCAGAAGCGATTTTTGACTTGTAAAATATTCATAAGCAAATTGACATTTGCGTAACATGATTATCATGAAAATTATCGCAAAAATAAAATTTTACTTATTTACATCGTTATATTTGGCAAGAGAGAAGTGCATCATATTTTCTGTGAAATTCTAACACAGAGTATGAGATATAATTTCACACACATGCACCTTTTTTTTTGTAAAATATTTTCATGATTAAAAATGTAAAATATGGAAGTATAAAATATGTTTCTGATTAAGATTTATTTACGAGAGAGGCCAGAAATTCATAATTTACGCAAATTGATGTACGCGGGCGGAATGAGCGAGAGAGGCGGTGAATATTTCTGCGCGTTCTTTTCGTTGAGTGTTATTCCTGCTGTTTCTCGAAATTGCTTGGGTATTCGCTATTACGCGGCGTAGAATAGATTCCCGGAGGGAATTGCGATAATTTGTGTGATTTACGTGATCGCGGAAACAAAACGTCAAGAGAGACAAATATAAATACATAAGAATATCTTCGTAATTCATTCCGGGCACGCGAAAACGCGTGACGGGAGTTGGCGAAGTTCTATTTTTCTTGTTCGTTTCGCCTATAGTTTCCCTTAATTTCACGCTGTGCCGTGTTCATTCGCCGCAGCGCGGTAACTCGGCTCGGTTTTCAAGGGAAACGTTCGCTTTTGAAAATACTTCATGCTCCACCGTATAATTGTACCTTAACTTTTTCATACACGTTCGCAAGAAATTTCGTGAAGAAGATGTAAGCGAGCAACAGTTAAATTTTGAAATAAGCACGACGTAAAATACGCGCCTCCAAATGTAAGCAAAATAAAACGTATGTACAGTAAGTTGATAGAATATCTTTGAAAATTTTTATGCAAAATTATTTAAAAATCCTAAAAACAGAATTGAATTCAAAAATGTTAATCCGCAAAAGATTTTTCAATAATTACGAATAAGCGCACTACGTCTTAATCTACCAATTTCTCAAATAAACGCACCAAGTTTTGCCTCGTCTGCTCTCAATTCGCAATATAATTCGCTGCATCGCTCGTCAATTGTCGCAACATTCCGAATCGAGCGCCACACAACACTTCGCCCCTCCTCTGATTATCTGGTAAAAAAATTCTTGTGCCTACCATCATCCCTAACGGACGCACCTCATCAGTCGCAGGCACTCACTGTCGATCGCAGTCATTCAACACGCTCTCAGTATCGTCACTCCACCGTTGTCCTCCAACACGATACCGTCCGGCGACGACGAGTCGCGCCATCGGGCGCACCTGAGCGTGCTGTCCCGCCGTCTCGAAGCGGCGTCCGGGCCGTCTGAATAATTTGCGTCGGGATCGTTGCTTGGCCAGCTGCCGCCGCGTTGGCACGTGGTGGACTTCATGCTCGGGCGATTCTTTGCCGTCGTCGCCGCCGCTGTTGTCAGCGACGACAGCGTCGTCGCCGTCGTCATCGTTGTCATCGTCGTTATCGTCGCCAGCGGTCCCCGGGGAGCGGTGGGTCGCGCCGGCTAGGTCGCTAGGCTCTGTAACATACGGAAGAAGCGTGACGATGAGGACGTGAGTGTCGTCGACGTTGATGAAATATACGTTTTTGGTCCGCGGATTAAATAAAAGGAAAGAAGGGTGCGACAACAAATCGATGGCTAATCCGCCTAAGAGACAATGGCAGTTAACAAGAGAGGGTCGTTAGCGCCTGTGCCGGCGGCTGTGCCACTTTCGGCGTTTCAACACCCTCGGGCCATTAGTCCATTTTTCTGCTTGACGTAACTAACGGCGCGCCGCCCCATTCGAGTGTGACGCACCAAGTGCCGACGTAGGATCGTCGCCGACGCGGCTTGTTTTTCCTCCCGACGCGCAAACGCACAAGCTTCGTGTGTAAGCTATTAACGCTTATTGTATCAGAAGCGCGTTGTTGCAAACGCTCCATTGTTTTCCTCCGTAAGAATCTGCATCTATATTTTTACGAAGGGCACAAATTTATCAGGAAATAGAGATATTTTTAGGAAGTCTAGACAGTTTAATACCAATGGATCGAAACTGTTATAAATGATACGTTACCTATTCCCAATACCGGGGGAGTTAATTGAGTTTTTCTATTCTTCCATTCTCTGCTATTTTTTAAGCAACGTATATTTTGACAAAATTTGATTTGCGATTCTGCCGTCGATGGAAAAAAAAGGAAATTAAACTGACGAGATCGCCGTTAACAAGAGATTCAAGATTAATCGAATCGTTGAAACTGATATTTGCAGAGACCGATCGCCATCTATTTTTCTAACACGACAGTGTACGAAAGGGTTCAGACTTGTTTAATTAAATCTGCTAGAAATGAAAACAATTTTCGATAACTGTAACTACATCAAGTGCGCTAGAACGTGACTGTGATACGCTCGGCCTACGGCCGAAAAATTTAAGTAATTTACGACTATAAAAATAACATATCGCCGAAATATTATATCTTTCAAATATTTTCCTTCTATTGGATTCGTTATTTCAACGTTATTAATAACACCGATATCAAAGAGTATAATATTTATCCAAACGAAATAAAGATACAATAAAAATATTAAATTATTTCGAACTGGTAATAGAAAGAGAGGATAAACATTCCATTTTTTACATCTTCCTCCCCAGATCTGTCGCGTTCGAGCAGCAATCAGCTCTATACCTGTAAAAATAAAAATTCCAACGGAATCCATCATCCGCGGTTATAAAAGCGGAGGATCAAGCGGCGGACCATAAAAATGAGACTCAAACCCGCTCGAAGAACGGTACGCGCCGGACGATTTTCCAATAACAATACGACCGTAGAATGGCGGCGCTATCTTTAATGACACTATTATATTATCCCTCGCACGGGTCCGTGTATAAAGATCGCCATTGCCGATCGCAATTTGCACGATCACCGATATTGCGCCCGAGCCGTTCCGCATCGCTGGATATTAACGTTGCAAATCGCCCCTCCCCCCCTCCCCCCCTCCGCCGTCTACTCGTACTTCCAGCCCTATCTTCCTTTCCACCCTATCTAGAACTCCAATTCTCGCTCTCGCTCTCTGTCTTTCTTCTCCACCTCCTCCTCTTGCCGGGTTCTCAGTTAACCGGAGCTATAGCTGCTCGAAGTTCTATCGGGGACTGTACGCAATCAGCTGCTAATTGGGAAATGATTGGAGGCGCCTCCGCCGATAGTATCGCACCCCTAACTACCCCTACTGCGCCGCTGTATAACCACCAGCTAGTATAAATGCCCCTATAAATGCCGAAGCAGGCAGGTACATATGCAGTCCGAAACGTCCTGCGATGCCGCACAGTGGAGTGAGCACCAGTCACTCCATTTATTTGCTATCTCCTTAAACTCAATATAAAAGCAATACGTATATTAGTTATGAGATGAGAGGAGAGAAACACGACACAAATTTCCGCTGGAAAGAGAGGAGTGCAATGTGAAGGCAATTTCGAAAAATTTTATCATTTAAATAAATAAATGCATTAATAGAAGCAATAACTTCGATTTATCATAAGCAGCTTAAGTTTATATATGGCTTTTAGCACCATTTAAAAAATATTAGTATTCGCTTTATGCAATAAAAACCCCTTTTTTTCAGATGGCTTTAGAGATTTGATCCCTGAATGGAATCGGCAATGAAAGCACGTGAATGTGCCAGCGGCATTGGTAAGTCGTTTATGATATCTATCGGATTGCGCTGTTTTATCTATTTATAGGGCGCCTTCCTGCCTTGTGTTAGAATTATGATGCTCTTATTTTCGCGAGAAATACGGGTCAGCCGACAGTCGGGGATTTTTGCGTTGCGCTGCCTCGGAGAAAAGCGCAATTATACGTTTCCGTATACGAGCGTGGTCGGTTATTAAGGGAATATGTACGCTTGCAACGTCCAAAAAGAATTGTGACCGGAAAGGCGCAACATGCAAATAATAGCGCGACGCGACTCTATTACTTTACATCGCGACAACCTAAAACGTATTAAGGAAAGGGGAAAAAAAAAACATGTTACGATTTGCAATGCATTTGTATAAATACGCGAGATGCGAGTTGCGAATTCAATTTAAAGGCGCTTAGGAAGACTAGCGGGTTTACATCCTTTCACCTTTAAATTTTCAAATATTACTACTATTTGCGGTGCGTAATTAGTACCAATATTTGCGGATCAATAAAGGCAGGTCTCTCAAAAAGGTAATACGCAATCGTTAATGACTAATTGTGAATTTGTTCGCGATAAATATTTCGCGACTCGAAAATTACTCCGGAACAACTTTTTATGTGAAATAAACGAAAAGGTATTTTTGCACGCGTTACTTTGTAGTCTTCATAGGGATTTTAAACGAATTTTTCCCTTTTGCGGAAGAACAAAGGTAAAGAAAAACGAGGTCGACGTTACATTAACTTTCATTACGCATGTTTGAACTTTGACACGCTGATATTAGTAATGCGTGAAAAATTAATAGATCATTTACACGCATACTCTCTGTCTCTTTCTCTCTCACTCACTTTCTAGAAACAATGTTCTCGTAAAACTAATTTCCGCATTCTCGTAAACACGATTCACAACTGCGAACGAACTTCAACATCGGCTATTATGAAGGGTCGACGAAGAGATTATTCGCACTTTTGGGGAAGTTTGCTTGCTTTGATCTAGCGGCTAAAACCAGAATAAAGTTAATAGTAGACTACTTTCAGTAGACTCCAACGGTCGTAATGCTAGCTTTTGAAAAAGATATTTCAAAGGTATTAATGATGATTATCATGTACATATTAGTATACCACACGCCACTAATATAGTATAATGTAATCATCATTATCAGTAGTATTTATCAAAATTATTCATTTGCGTGTTTAATTCATTATAAACTACTCTTGCTTCTACAAACATTTACAATTAACGTATCTCTTATTACAGAAGTATGATTTGCAATAATCCTGGCAATACGACAAATACAAGTTTCGCTGAAAATAGATGAAAAAGATTTTTTTATCGAGAATTATGATAAAGAAAAAAGACGGTAGGGAAAAAAAAAGCTTGCTCTTTGCGTGCCAAATAATTTTTGCAAACTCTTTCCGTTGCACAATCGTCTAATGAAGCAATCAGTCATAGCAGCAAAAGTATAAAGTGCACAAAAATGACTAGCGAAACGATTGAAAGTATCCTTTCATCTTCCTTCTCGTCATCCTTCCATTTTTCGAGCGCATTCGTGTTATGAATACAAGCGTCCTCTTTGCAAGATCGCTCTTTTCCCAGAGAAATTTTACAACCCACCGGCTGAAACTCCCGCTTTTCGACGGTAGTCTCTACGGCTCGATCGTGAAAAAATCATGGGTTTTTTTTATAATGGAGGGAACGCTCCAGATTTTTAAGTAAGCGTGACTTCAGTGGGCTCGGCCACGATATTAAAATGCAACAGTTACTTCGTGGAATTGCGGTTTCCCTGAACTCGTGGCATTTATTTTTTTGCATTTCCGCGGTCAGGCAAAGGAGGAAGCAGTCTAAATCCGTTGAAATAATTTGCCGATTTTTAAAGCAAAAAAGAACGAGTTTTGAATTGTATATGATTATTATAGAAAAAGATGTTTTATTATATCGTGCTAAATTATTGAAATAAGATGCAAAAGCATTTTTTAATAAAAATTAGAATATCAGTGTTCACCGAGAAGTTGAGATATTTGTAAAGCTGGCATATACGAGTCTATAAATGAAAGCGTTCAATATCTAAAAAGGAATGAAATTGATGCTCGATATATGTAAGTAGCACACACGATGCATCGCGATCGATCGTTTGAGATTATTCAACTTTGCTAAATCTCAAAGCTGCATACGAAAGTTCAAGGTGTCTTCCTTCAGCACGAACGTCATCTGCATTTTCCATGGTTGCACGGAATATCGAATACTCAGTTAAAATTTGTTCGAATTCGTTAAGCGAAGTTGAAAGTTCCATGACGGTGACTTGGTAAATTGCAACGCTAGAACGGGTTCCGATCTTGGTTTCGTCTGCACTTCGCGATATAAATATCTTCTGCGAGTTTCGCGATCCTTCGCAACAGCGGAAAAACTCGAGATGGCACTTTCATGAAAATAAATAAAATTGAGAATTAATATTTTTCAAAAATTCTATCGATTTGGTAGAATAAAAACTTTGTTAACGTAAATAAGATCTATAAAGTAAATTAAATAAAAATCTCAGAAATTATCATGTCGAAATACTTGTTTACATCAAATTATTACAATAGTATTTTGAAGTTCGATTGAAATTATTATAATCGAGCGCTTCCTGTCTTCACGCGGGAATATGCATTCCCGGACAATATTTGCGGATGCGTTCCGAGGTCTCGTTCGGTCTGAGAAGTGCCCTCAGGAACACCATAGCGACATCGCCGAGGTCGATGGCGGTGGCGACGATATGAGAATGTAGCGCCAACTGCGCGCACGTGTAACAAGGTTTCACGAAGCCGATAGATACCGGCGTTGTGACGCCATTCCCCTAGGATTTTAGCAGGCTCGCGGCAGGATAACGAGAGGGGAGATACGGCGAGGAGGCTGCGGCTGCGGATATGACTGAGCAGATAACACGTTTAGCCTCCCTACAGATGGGGATCGTTTAATTGCCCAAATTGATATCGTGTCGCGTTTAGAATCGGCCCATCCTCAGTTCGATCCCTCGCGCACGGGGTGCGATCCCATTAAAACGTGCAATTCCCCGTTGTGCATCGAACAAGCCACGGTATTCGGAATATCTCGCCCCTTCTGAAAGCGTTGGTGCGTAAAAAAAAAAAAAAACCCAGAAAAAGAAACACCCGACTTAGAAGAATTATAATTACTCGAATTGTATGTTGATGTTGGAGCGGCGTGTCGGCGTAATGTAATTCAGTTTAAATCAAATTGTAAATTAAATTGCATTTCACGGCAGCCCTCATTCTTTCCCCGTGAAATATTCTCTCGCCTCTTTGTAGCTCTTTGAGTCATCGTGAATGCGCCAACTCGCGAGACAAAAAATTCCACAAAGTATGCAAAAATGTAACCGCTCCTTCGACACTCTTCTTTTTTAAGGCACCGAGATCTCTCCGGGCGTCATTTGTTATTCTAATATCTGTGTATCAGACTGGACCAAGCTGGCGCTACGTGGGTTTAAGGTCCGATTTCGCATCCATCAATGTCGGCAGCAATTTTATACATGCTTCGCAGCGGCTTGCGTGTCAGGGCTTTACGTGTGCGTGTCGCGCGCGCGCGGGACATTTTCCCTCGTTTCGCGGATTTACCGGACTCCACACGCGGAACAATAATTAGCAATAAATCGCCGCCGGTTGACATGCCGTTGGTTTTTCTTATATTACTTTTCAGAAAAAGAGAGATAGGGAGAGAAAGAGAAAAGATCCAACATTTGCGAGCGGTAGTTGCCGTTTGATGCAAAAACAATGCGCAAAGCGCATAGCGCGCGTTTAACGAGGTTCGTGCACAAACGCGGTAAATAATACTTATGTAGATCTACTTGCAGAGTTACATTTGCATGCCGGTCGCATAGCGACGTATTTAACCGAATACTATAATATTATCGTTCTATATAACGCAATGTAATTTCGTATAATATAATAATGATCGCTATTATTATTGCATTAAAATAGTACCGAATATTATCGTTACGACTATTTAATAGATGCCGAATGATTATTACGCCGTCTAAATTATACAAACCGTCTTTTATTACCAAAATATATGTCCTCGATTTTTACCTATCTGTTTATCGTACAACAACCATTTTATTAATATTATCCTGCTTTATCCGCGACAGAAAACGGCTGTGCATGTTCGGAAGGAACTAGGTTCCATCAAATTAAAATATTGACATTGCCATATGCACCGATCGTAATTTCATCGATGCAATCGCCTTCTGTTTACTTACGGACAGTTTACAGTCCTTGGTTATAGCGCACAGCGTAACTCGGAAAACCCGGGGATTAAACCATAAACCAATATTTGCAATTTCCGTTTAGGGCCATCAAAAGGTTTCATCGCTGCAAATGGGTAGCGCTACGCAATCCGTTTTTTCGATTTTACATCGCGCAACTTATTTACAACGCTCGTTTATTTTAATACAGCGATGGGATGCGCTGTACACCGATAAACCCGACGGACAATAAAACCGTCCGTTTATCTAATAATAAAAATCAATATGCAGACTAAATTATTTAACGTGGCCAGTTCATTAATGTCAGAAAAAACAAACAGATCAACCTGTAAATTTCCATACTTCGCAAGCTGAAATAACAAGCAACAGCTACAGCTCAGGGCAATGCGATTTATCACAGTTCTAACACACCTCTTCGAACTCGATTCGGATTTGATAAATGGGCGTACGTTAGGTACGAGCCATTTGTTTCTCGCAAGAAGTAAAATTTTATCTATCAATAACAAACGTTTGTGATTAACAGCGTGTGTTCGGGTTAAATGTCGCTCTTGGGAATATTTCTATTGCTAAACTAAAATGCAAAATTACGAATTAACATCGGTGTCGGTAACGCGATAAAAAAATTAACGATATGCTACGTGCTATACGCGATATACATAGTTTTTCACGTGTTCGTAAAAAAAAATGCAAACGCCGTCGTGATGTTTTAATCCGAGCGTTGTAGAGAGAGGAAACGTGGCAAAAAAGAAGATTTAATAA